TTTTTTTATTCCCCCCCCCCCCCCCCCCAAACAAAGTGATGTGAATTATTCAATAATCGAGATTGATTTGCTCCCCCCTCCTCACAAACAAATAAGTCTCATGTTTGAACATTAAATATGATATCTCCTTCGTTAAAAAGCATTTTACCCCCATTGTGTACTTTTCCAACACGAATTTGAACATAATCGATCTCAATGTGAATACCGAACACTAGATAGGAAAAAACTTTAAAAACTAAACCCTGCCAAATTTCTATGAAAAGTTCTTTAATCAAAAGTCTTAAGTTTGAATGGAGCCTGAATATGACAAATCACCCTTAGTCATAAATCTCATGTTTGAATTATGAGTATGATATTGCCTTTATTAAAAAGCGTTTTACCTTCAATGTGTACCTCCAAAACTAAATCGACTTCAATGTGAGTACCGAACACCAGATAGAAACAAAAATAATAAAATAAACCAGTCTAGAAGAAGTGAATAAACCAATGTAAATGTGAAACGATTGTCAAAATTTCTATGAATTATTGTAATCACACATAGAAGTCAAACAAAAAAACATGAATTTTACAGAAATGGGATGGCCACCCCATGTTAGAAAAAGGTGAAAAAAAGATTCCTTTTAATTGACTCATACTAAAGAAGAAGACAATAATTAAAAGCCCCACACCAAAAAAAAGATTTGTTTCAATACATTTGGTTTTTCTTTCTTGGCTTATTACTATTGCAGTGTGTGTAGCAGAAGCTGTAGGTAAGACTCTGAAGATGCTTTTTTGATAAAATGCCAATTCATGTCAGATCTTCAAAGAATATTTTGCATAAAAACATAGATTTTACATCTTCACTCACATGTTGAGTGTCCTCATTTTCACACCAGCACCAGTAGATGTTATCATTTGTTCCCAAATCCAAATAAATAATGTACAACGACAATAACATATCCAGTGTAGTTCCATAAGCAGAGTCTGGGAAGGGTAGAGTGAACACAGACTTTACCCTTATCTTGGGAGGTAGACAGGTTGTTTCCGATAGAGAAAATGCATATCAAAACAGGTCAGACAAAGCATTTTGTAACCTTCTACCATAATTTGTGTCCACCACAACGAAATAAATATACAACAGTGCAAGAAAACAACCCTTAAAAAGAAAAATTGTTCAAAATACCATAACTCCTAGTTTTAGAACATGAAGTAGCAATCTTTTTTCACCTTTTTTGATCAATAAGCGTAATATTTTTTTCTTCGGATGGTGGTGTCTTGGTCAGCTTGTCGTGCACCTTGACTATTCTACCAGGTACATGTTACAGGTACTTGGTGATTCCGTCGCCAAGGCTTAGGCAGAAGGGAGGAAGAAATGACATAGTGTTTTTTTTCTTTTTTGATAAAGAGTTGTAGAACATAAAGTCTCACTCGTAGGATTACACTAGGTTTGTTGTTGTTTAGTTTTAGAGCATAAAGTAACAATCTTGAATAATACTACCCAATTAGCTAATCAGACGCGAGCCCCTCTTTGAGTGGAATGAGGGATCAAGAGACAAATAGGGAGGCTTCTATGATGGTAGATGGGGAGGATTAGATGCTAACCTCCAGATAGTCTTTTTTTGTTTTCGTTTATGCAGATTTACGTTGTTTCAGCTGCCATTTTAGTGGTTTCTGGCTGGTAGGGCTTGACTGTTGTCGAGTATTCTGTGATGGCTTCGAATTCAAAACATCAGATCGATATAGTTCCTCGTCTTCAATAACAGAAGGTATACTCCATGTTCCAAGAGATGGACCTGACGTCTTCCCGCCTAACAATAAAAGGAAGCTAGTTAAAATTTGGACAAATTCTAAAGGAATAAAGCAAAATCCTGATAATAAAGATCATAGGTTGAAGGGTCAAATAGTTGAAGGATTCGTAAAAAAAATTAATAGGCGAAAATATTACCTTCTTTAGTAGCTTCTTCACATCTCTTCTGATACTTCAGAGAGAGCTCGGGATCGAGAGCTTTCAAAAGACTATCATACTTCTCTTCAGCTTCAGTTATAACTTTTGCCTGGAATTCGCTTCAGTTAGCTTCTACATTGAGAAAAAAACAAATCTCGAGCATTCTTTCTTTCACGGTTCAAGTACTTATTGCAACATTTAGTTGCAGTAGGGTAAAATCTCAACAGTTAGCATCCCCTTGGAAGATTTAATCCGACATTTCTAAAACTAAATTGGTCAAATGTCCCCGACTCTCCTAAATACTTCACAAGTAGATGTTTTAATTGAAGGAAATACAAGAATATGTGATCGATAACAACATCCCAAATGCACTCTTCACGAACCAGTCATGGACTTAAGTCCCTATAGAAGAAATAGAAGCTCCAAAATGGATTTTTTTTTTTTGAAGACTCAAACCAGACCATGTTCATAGCATTTATCAGAACAAACACGGTTACTTACCAGCATGGTTGGTGCTGCAGAAGCCCCATAAATTCCATTGAACATGCGCAGAATATTGAAACTATTCTCTAACACATCGTCCTATGAAAAAGAAAAAGGAATAATTCATCTTCCCGCATGAATGACTTAAGAGGGTAAACAAACCATTGAAATTAAATGATTCACCTCATAATCAAACCTGGCATCATCCAGTCATTTAAGATCATCCAGATTTATCACGTCAAGAAAACCAGAAAACCCACATTAATTGGGAAGCACAAAAACTTTTCTCTATCAGAATGGAAGTAATTAACATAATTTACCGGATACTTACAAGTCATCGGATATCTCCACAAGGAACTCCGATATTGTCAAAAATTCCATATGCATATCATTGACCTGCAGAACAGTTTCAAAAGAAACACATGAACACAAAATCACAACATAAAACGATTAACGCATATGACTAAAAGCATTGTCAACTTATCGTTGAGAAAATTATATACATGAAATCAAGAACACGAACTACAACGTAAAACAATTGATTACTACACTACTCATTAAGAAATTCTACTGGGAATACTATGCATAGAGTACTTCACAACTAGTAACTCTTCTTGCCTTTCGCATACACACCACCCTCCCCAGACCCATTGGTGAGATTACACTGGGTATGTTGTTGTTGTCATCTCAAGAACCAGTAGTTTGATATGAAAATGGTAAATTATAAACAATTTTAGCAACTCTCAATATACTTCAATTTATAGAGGAGGAAAATTATATTGAAGTTACATTTCAAAGATAAAGATATCAGAACGTTTCTAGTCAAAGCAAAATGTTAAAGAAACCAATGACCACTTCTTCCTAATGAGATATACCTTTTCATCTCTCAGTTGATACAACAGAAGATTCAGCACCCGGTAATCAAAGGACTTCAGATGAATTGCCTTCATGACATCTTCAACTGAAATCTGTTCACAGAATCATTGATCAAAACAATTCATGGAAATAAGATAGGGGCTCGATAGGACATGAGTCGCAGGATTAAAGGAAAGATTATAAGTCATAGCTAATCTTGCAACATAAAAATCAAATATACGTATTTCAGGCACTACAAGATTTCAGTTTTAAGTAATCTAGTAACTGAAAGTCTGAAACTGCTTTTTTTAACTTCCCGAAACACATGAAAAGATTATGACTCCATTGTTTAATACACTTATCAATACAAAATTTCAGTTTTGGGTCACATAGATCCTAGATAGAACTTCGCCGACAATATGCTAGAATCCATAAAGGTATTTTATACAGCTTGGATCTGGCAAATGAGTCTGTATATTGTATATGTCGTTCTAAGAATTGCTTTGACGCCCTAATTCATGCATAGGTTAGAGTTATTACTCTAATTCACAACCTAATGAAAATCAAGTAAATAAAAGACCTAATGAAAATCAAGTAAATAAAAGACCACAATTAATGACTGTAAGAGGTCCATGGCATTGGAATAATTAGATTCAAGAAGACTATCCCCCGATAAATCTTAATCAGAAAGGAATAGTAGATAAGAAACTTGTGAGAATTTGATCGATTTGTTCAGAATAAGGAATCAATACCTCTTGTTTACTCCCAAGTGCATGACACAGCTTTCTCTCCAGAGACCAATATTCTATTCCACTACTAAACTCTTCTCTTACCCTGAACAAAGTGAATAAAACACTTAAAAGGTCACAGCATAAGAACCACTTCACGCCATGGAAACTTGACCAGCAAAGTATCTATAGAGTATTTTACCTTAGAAAATAACTACCTTCAGCACAAAAACAGAAGTCAAACTTCAAAGAGCATATACACGAAACGAGGCAAAGAAAAAGGAAAAGAGAGAAAAAGAAGATGTGGTGTAGACAGATTCTGCCCTCTTTCTTTTGTCATTCCTGTGCTATCACCTTCTTCTAAACTTTCTTTAGGGAGGACTACACGGGTGAGTAAGAAAGGTAGACAAATGACTTACTAACTGATAAAAAAGAACAAAAAGGAAATGTAAACAGTACAATGGATGTAACAAAGGCAACAAAACAAGAAAGAAGTCAGAAAGATATTCTATGAGTGAAATGGTCTTCAAAAGATTTTTTGGAGAAGTTATCAGTGAAAGTGAAGTAAGCAAAGTTCTTATTAAAATGTTCCCAAGGAGATAAAATAATTCTAGCATGGTTTGGAGCTTCACAAACAGAATGGAAAAGGATGAAAAGGAAAATAGCTATATGAAGTTAGACCTGTCTGTCAAAAGCCCATGCTGCTGAAGTAAAATACAAAGAGGTCTAAACGGATCATTGGTCATCATTCTCACATATGTAAGCTCCCAGCTTTCTTCCTGCACATAATGGAACACACAGAAATAAGGAATTGGATTCAACTATAAGCAAGTAATAACTCAAATGTTCCTGAAATGTAGTACTACCACACTGTATTCACGATATGACGATCGATCCTTCCCCACTGATGGCTGCAGCAGTTTCTCATTTAAATTATCCAACTGCATCAAGAAAGATATACGAATTAGAAAGAGGTTGGGATGTTTCCCTTCTTACCTACCCAAGGGGAAAGAAATAGATCTTTTACCCTGTAGTATCCTTTTTACCCAAACAAACCAAAGGGGGAGAGAAAAGGGAGTGAGCAGAAGAGGAAAGAAGTCACAGTTGTTAATAAGGAAAGTATCTCATGTCGAGAGCGACACGTATTTTAACGAAATTCCATGATGTGTCACGTGCAACAAGATTTTATTGAAATGCTACAACCCAAAACGATCAGCAGCCTGTCAATCTCCTTACCTGATAAATGTAACTTTCAGTAAATGAAAGTATCGGTAGGTATCTGAACATAGACTGAGGTTGGTGAGGATCCATTTTGTGAAACATAAAATAAGACCTGCACTGGCACACGAAACTAACATCAGCTTATTATTTCTTCAAGGTCCTAGAGCAATAAAAAAACAGAAAACTTGGTCGGCCAACATCAATAATTTGATGCATGGTGTTAGAGAGAAAATAACCCAGTCTTGCAAGTCAGCAAATATGCATAATTTTCCAATATGATTTCGGAGTTAGGGCAATGGATGAATTTACAACAAGATGTTTGAGAAATTAAGCAAATTTGGATGACTGAAACACAAGAGTTTAACTCCAGAGTGAGAGTTAGAATTATAGTGGTTAAGAACATTACACCATTCTCAGTTCTTACAAGCTAGAAGGGGATAAAAGACTTGCAGCAGGTATTGTTAAGGTTAAGAACATAAGATCATTCTAAGTTATTCCAAGCTAGAAGGGTCTAGCATAAAGAAAGAAGAGAATTGCCTTCAATATATGCTTAAAAAGGTAGTCACCAATGCGAGAAGCCAGTTTGTTGGATTATCAATAAAAGCTTACAGGGTAAAGTTCAAGTGCTCCTTTGGTTAAGGAATGTGAAGGCATCAAGATGACTTACGGCAGTCATCCTGCCTATGGATGTAAAAGTGCAGGACCAGATGAATGATATATTTTTCATTTCCATAGTTAATTTTCTTTTTCGTACAGTTCTTCTTATCAGATGTTGGTAAACGGTTATTCATTAGAACAAGTGAATAATGAGTACTTATCTTTTTTTCTTAGAAAGGTAACATTTTACTGGTTTTATTTATCCTTGATAATGTTATATATATATCAGTACTCATTTTTCCAGCAAGCTTCATACAATTCCTCCAATTCAACATTAATGCCTGGGATATTTTAGTCAGCTGTCTTTATCAATCTTTGTCCCATTTTAGCCAATATGAATGTAGGATAATTAGTAAGATGATATCCTTCACCTAGAGTCTCATCGGGCATTTACCACAAATAGGACAAATATTTATTTGATGAAGACCCATTTGCTTTATCCTGTTCACCAACCCAACATGCACCACAGTTAAAGCCGCCATCTTTTCATTTGTCCACCTTTTATTACTAAAATGAAGATAGTAACAAAGATGAGTCTGAAAACTACCAAATCACCCTATCTTAAGTCCTAAACAGCATAACTTGTTCAGAGATGAGAACTACAATTGATACGACATCATAAGAAGTAGTGGAGTAATGTGAATCGAAAAAAAAGATGCTCCAACATGCAAACTACTTAGTCCTAGATTGATGAGATGTTCACTCGATAATCGAATATCAACTTGCCAAAAAGCTGACTACGCTGTTTTCCCCAACATACAAACAAGACAGCAAAAACCTTTGCGAATTTAATCATCAGAATCTTGTGTTGTTTGCCAGCAATATACAGAGACACGTCCAGAGACCAAAAATGGTATGATAAACAGCAATCCTTAAGATCCACAAGGAAAATAAATACTCACAAAATCTTCTAATGTAGAATTAGCTCGCTGCATAGCATCAAGTCCAATCATTGACATATCTTTGGATCCCATTTTAGATGGATCCGGTATAATCTTATCACCACAATCAAGTGGACGGGTATTTACCATTTGTTCAACACCTGCAAGAAAGTTAAAGGTTGAAACAAGCTAATTCCCTCTGCTCAAGTAAAAAGAAAGAGCAAGCTAATTCCAGGAAAGACAATACACTTCTCACATGAATATTGGGGAACTGGAAAATCTCATAAATTTTATTACTTCTGAAATGCCTCCAGCTGATATGACAAGCTTTTGGTATTTTGGCTCATCAGATTTCAAAGTATTTGACAACCCCGTCTCCCAATTCCCATTACTTTTTCTCATTTGTGCTCGTTTCATTAGTGAGTTATTAATGTAGGTTTATCATAAATCGACCAAGATAGAAACCTTATGCTTCTGTAAGACATGACCAACTTTTTGAGAAATTATGGGGAGAAAGAGAGCAATAGATACAGATGTAAGGGGAAGGTCAAAGATTGACTTGTACTAGTAGCACCTGTAAATTGTAAGCAAATAAAATAACAAACTAATCCCATATTTGAACAAGATATGTGTCATGTTGTGTGGGAGATCACCAAGGAAAAGGCATCAAAAGCCCACCACATTTCCATAAAAGTACATCATTTAGCAAGTAAGATGGAAACAAAATGATCAGATCTTTTGAACTCCCTTTTTCTTTTTCTTTTTCTTTTTTTGCTTTTTGGATCAGTAAGTTTCAGGATCTAGTCAATACAAGTCCTTTTATCAAAATTCCAAGGAAGAATCAATTACACAAATAAAAGGAACCAAATCTCAAGGGACGAAACGAAGAGAAGAATAACCAAAGAAAATGTACTGTGCATGACTCTGTCATCACTTCTGTAGAACACACCTTGCTCACTAGCACACTGCAATGCTTCCTCAAGGAAAGCATGTGAAAACTGCCAAAGAAACAACATGTATGTTCACTGCAGCCTCTCACACAATTGAAAGAGCTTCTAAAATTCGATGCAAACCTTTGGCACATGGTCAATAATCAATTGGCACTTGGCACCAATGTCAAGTTCACAGCATTGCGATACCTTCAGTGATATATGAATAATATTAGAAAGTGACTAGAAAGTAGATCTTAGTGTACATCCTGATGTAGCAATATCCATGGGTAAAACAAGGAGAAACATACCAACCAATTTAAAATCAGTACAAAGGATCAAAGAAAAGATAAACACAACCTATCGACTGTACCGCCAAATAATCAGCCCTGAAATATATCTGAAGGCATTAAAATGAAGGTGGATCGTTGTTTAAGCCTTCTTTAGTTCTTTAGGGTTATAGGGCGAGAAGTAATTACTATCTCTCCTTCAGAGTCTTCATATTCCTCCCGCAGTCAGTAATTATCACTATCTACATCTTGAATTGATTTGAGTATGTATCAGTTATCCTAGCTCCATAATGATTTGGTAGTTTACAAACCGCGTACAAAAGCACTCTTCTGCTGAAGAGTTACAAAGTCAATAATAATTAATCATAGCTACCAAGTTAGCCACATTTGGGGGAAGAATATATAGGGTCACTCTGTGTGCAGCTAAAATGGAACCCATAACCTCAATTGTCTTCTTCTATGAAATGGCCTCAAATGGGCAGTAAGCAACATACAACGATCTTGGCTTACTAGATAACTTTCTTGGTGAAGGAGAAAGAGTTAAACAAGCTAAGAAAGTCTCATTGAAAGCAAGAACTCAAATTGTGACAAAGATTTTCACTAGAAGGGCTGAAGCTATTGGAGGTTACTTAGGCCTGCTATAACTTAATATCTAGCTGTAGAAGAAATGATCTCCCTGAAAAACAGGAGGTTTTAGACATTAGTTCCCTTTACTTGATATTAAATTAGTAAAGTAACACCTAGCTAAAGGAGCCTGCTTTGGTGATCCTGTAAGGAAGTGTTGCATAACTAAAAATAATAAAATGGTTTTAACGAGAACTCTGAGAGGGTGTAGAAATTTTCAACTCAGTACAAAGTAACCACATCAAAGCTCCTTTCTTTATTCACTTTGCAACTCCCAAATCCCTTCTTCAGTTTTTGTTACTGTCACTAATTGTCAGCATGTCTCAAAACACATCAATCTTGTTCCTACTCCTAACAACAACCGCCTCAATCCCAAACTAATTGGGATAGGTTGTTTTAATTCTCTATATCCATTCCACTTCATTTGGACAAATTTCATGCTAACACAAGAAAATACATACTCCCTCCATTCCAATTTGATTGTCTAGTTTTGACTTGGCACGAAGTTTAAAAAAGTAAAGAATACTTATGAAACTTATGGTCTTAAACATACCACGTGTAAAGTTGAAAGTAAAGAGTTACTAAGAAATAGAAAGATACATTCTTTATGGAACGGACTAAAAAGGAAATTAAGACAACCAAATTGAAACGGAGGAACTACATACACACTAAAAAATCCGGTTTCAGTTTTTCATTACTGCCAAGCATCAAAACCCACATCAATCTTGATCCTAACAACAACAACGCCTCAATCCTGAACAAATTGGGGTCGACTATTTCAATTCTCTATACCCATTCCACTTCATTCAAACAAATTTCATCCCCAAACAAAAAATAATATACACACATACTGAAAATTGAGCCTAAAAACTAATTCAAGAATCAAAAAAGAATGAAGCTTTACCAAAAGAAGGACTACATCAGCAAGAAAACGAAGAGAGCTGGCATTATGGGTGTTGCTAGAAGAACTAACGATACCGTGAGACTCCATCATTTGTATAATTTTCTGTACATTTTCTAGCTTCCTCAGTCCATCCATTCTTAGTTTTTGCTCTGTTCGTCTTCTTCACCCTTCTGGTTTACTGATTAAAGAGCAGCTCCAACACACAGAAGCACAGCAACGAGTGTGAATTGAGTATTTATTTGTTGTTTGAAAAAAGAAAATCACAAAAATGGTCTCTCGTCTTTAGAGTAGGTTAAAAATAGTATTTATTTTTTTATGGTTTTTCATTCGGTGTCCGTAATTGCATTAAAACCTGTATCTGCTTTAAAACCCGATTAATCCAAATTCGCGTCTAGGCTCCATTTGGGGGAAGCACTTTCGTACCTAGGCTCAAATATGCCCTCAACTTTGAGAAAAAACTCATTTATGTCATTTTCGTTTGAGAAAAGACTCATCTATTTTTTTTTTCTAGTTTTTCATCCGGTGTTCATACCCGCATTGAAACTTGATTAATCCGAATTCGTGCTGTCTAGGCTCCATTCAGGGAAAGCACTTTCATACCTAGGCTCGAACCCAAAATCGTGTATCTTTAAGCATCATTTAAGCAACTTTTAGTTTTCTACATTTGTTAAAAGTCAAAATTGAGTATGGTTTTATTTCCGTCAAATGTTTACTGAACTCTTATTAGTGAGACTTCAATACTGTTTACTATGTTTCTTGAAAAAAATTGTACTTTGTTCTTGAATAATTGTTCAGCATACTTTTTTTAGCACATCATTTCAAAGATTAGAGAAACAAGTGGGATCTGGAGAAGGTAGAGTTTACGCAGACCTTACCTCAAGTAAAAGCATTTCAAAGCAGTTCGAGAGGAAAAAAAGGAAGTGAAGAAGCGACAAAACGCTAAAGAAAACATGCCAGAGCATTCTTGGCATTGCAATACCAGAACAAAATTTGACAACTATTAGCATCAGAACTGCAGGAGATAGAATGATCAATTGTGTTTTCTTAATACACAACGTTACGTTGTCAAATAAACGTGAACAAGAACATCGAGTTTCACCTTTCTCCTCTCCCTCCCTACAGAGATATTGCTCAAAAAAACCCAGGAGAAAAGAATCTGCACAGGGATATAAGATTCCTCAAATATATGTCAATCTTCAACCATATAAGTGTGAGACCATGCATATCAACCCTTTCGTCGTTTGAAGAAATCTTACTGGTCTATACTGAAAGAAACTAGATTCTGTCATTATTGGTTTCCCGCTGTCTCTTCAAAGCTTGAATTTGATTCACTCCCAACTGTGGAAATCCATCCGCGGCTGTATTAGACACATCATTTGATTTTTTATTTGGATCTTGACTAAGTCCTCGCTTGTTCTCAAATAACTTTCCAGTTTTCCCAATTGCAAGAATTAATTCAAGCTGTTTGTGTTGCTGGTCCTGTAGATGAGTAAATAACAAATAGGAGTCAGGTGAAGACAACTAACACAACTTCTAAGTAAATTATTGATGCTTAGAAGTCCATATTAGCTCTATTTTTCATTACGTAGAATTATCCCAACCTCTTGGAGGTAGAGAGGCTATTTCTGAAGGGCCCTCAAATCAAGTTTAGCAAATCAAAGTAGTGATGAAAAGGAAAAACAATAGTGAACATGGTGACTAATAGGAAAGCAGTGCATTCAGGAAGGAACAGTAACATCAGCAAAATAGTGCGATCACCGAAACCTAATAAACAACAGAGGATAACAGATAACAAAAGCAAGAAACTACATGAATAAGGCTAATACTACGATAGATACGGTGCTCTAGACTAGCACCAAGCCTAATCCCATTGAAAAGCAAGACAACGTTCCACTACCTACCAACTTTCTACCCTAATATGCGACCTCCATACCCTCCTATCTAAGGTTATGTCCTCAGGATGCTGAAGTTGCACCATGTCCATGCTCAGGATGTCATTTTAAAAAGCTATCAAGAACACAGTTGAAATTATGGTCATTAACACTCCATGCTCATTGTTTTGACCCTCTCCATCATGTTTGGTATCATATTTGAATTAGGGACTCAACTCTCCTTATCCAATTTCATTCACTTTCCCGACAGCAACTACAACAATAAAATAAACTAATAATAACGACTAATATGAAACGAAAAACAAAGAGAGAAGGAAATAAAAGCAAGATCTGAAAACTTGTTTCATTTCTAATTATACAACTGCAATGAACAGATATCATATTGGTTGGCTATGCTAGAACATATTCCCTTGCACCTTTGATATTCCTAACTAATAGCAACTTTCAATTCATAATATCTTAATAATCTAAAAGAAGGGGTGCAGAAATGAAAACTTTCTTCAATAGCGCCTGTATTCTTCTTTTCTTGTTTCGAATTAAAGACTTAGATCAAATTATCAGAAAAAGTATGCAGGAACAGAAGGAAGATGGATAACACAAGGAGATAAGAGAAAAAGGATGCAAGTTTATTTAGACTTTGCAAGTCAAATAATGAATAGAAAACCTTCCATTCCAATATTTTCCTACCAGACTCGAAACATATTATTCCATATTTTAAGCAAAACTAGGAACAGATGACCTTTTCTGGTTTGGATTGAGATTCTGCGTGCAATGGAAATCTACACCTGCTTAGGTGTGTGTCTGGAAGATCTTTGAGCAACTATACTTCTCTTTTATTTCTCAAGTTTCCTTCTTTATCTTTCCTGTTTATTCTGTCAACGACACACCTTCACCATACATCAGTTCAATCAATATCATAGTTACCAACCCAACTTCTCTAGAGTTCTACTATACTAAGACCCACGGTTGAGATATAATATTTATTTAAGTAATTAAAAGTGTGCTCTCTCTAATAGCTTGAACTTTTAGATAAGATGGTCATAAACTTCAACATGGACTAGAGCAGACAGAGGTCCTGGTTTCAAATCTCAACGCCACCCCAAAGAAAAGGCAAAAAGAAAAATGTTTCACGTGTTTGGCTTAGGAAAAAGAATCAATCCCACGCGTGAGAAGGCGTGTTGACACATAATATTAATTAAGTAATTAAAAGAGCGCTTCCATTTAAAAAAAACTATTTCATAGTGTGCTCTTGCTAACAGTTTCAACTTTTAGATGAGACGGTCACAAACTTAAATAGTAAAGAAATGAACCTTGGACTAACTCAATCCTAAAAGCTAGCACATGAGGTGAGGACTTCCCAAGACCAAATAGACCAAATCTACATCCCACAACCAATGTGGGACAACTTAACACCCCCACATGCCCAAGATCGCCAACTCGAGCATGGACAACATAATATGGGGGCTCAACATCGAGTTAACCAAGGGTTGAGATGGGTCTGCCTCGGTACCATGTAAAGAAATTGACATTCGACCTAATTCAACCTCAAAAGCTAGCTCATAAGGTGAGGATTTTCCAAGACCAAAATCCACATCTCACAACCGATGCGGGACAACTTAACAATCATCATGCACAATACTGTGTTAAACATATCATGAGTTGCATCTAAATGGGTTAACCTTTAGAATCAGCCAAAAATGGAGATGTAAAATGGATCTAAAAGTAAACCCTCACATCTTATGCTAGACACAACCTAAAAAAAGAATTGTCTGACGGAAGCATTCTTTTATCATCTTGAAGATGTAAATCCACCACAGAAAATTTTCCTGTAAAAAACAATGCCCCTTGGAAATTGGAATAAGCACGTGAATCTTGGAAAAGTAGTTAAACAACAGTTTACCTGCATTGCCAGCAGAACCTTTTGTATTTCACCAAGCTCCTTCTCCAGACGCTCGTCTTGCAATGCCAATGCTCGAGTGGCCTCAGAGTTCTTTTGGGCCAACATTGCAGCCTGGATAGAAAGAAAATCGAATCACAAGAAGGAAGGCTAGAGTATAAGATTACACAAAGATAGTATCTGCAAGAACTGACTCAGAAACGACAAGGCACTCAAGGCTTTAAGCGAAAAGTGAGAGCTAAAACCCATATTTTTCCAAGATCAAGTGTATAATTTACCCAAATACAAAAATACTTGTGAATTTGTTACTTATAAAGTCAACTTGCAATTAAAATTCCGGATTCATTAATTTCAATTAATCGGAAAAAGAATCAATTTGTAGCTCAGAATCAGAAGTGGCAAAAGAAAAGAGAGAGCACTCATATACTAGAAGAAGAAACAGTAGCTAAAAGAGAAAATATAAGAAGAAAGAAATAAATCAAAAGTAGCAGAGAAACATAATAGTAGAAGAAGTAATTATGCACGGGCGTAGTGCAAGTTCATCTACAAAATCTCTAATTACTTGTAACAAAAATAATGGTTGATGAAAAGGCGTGACATATACTAGAAGAAAAGGAAGACACTGATGACAAGAGAATGCTGAAATGTAAATGGAAAGGAGTCCTAATACTCAAATAGCAAAAAGACCCTATATTTCCTCCTCTCTATTTTCCCCTTTTAAAGTTAGATTTTTTTTTAAAAAAGTGACCGCTTCTTTATAGATGATTTTACGCCTTTGCACTTCATCGTCTAAAGAGAGGATCTCTAAAGCACCCCTCAACAAGTTGTCTGTAATTGGTTCATATTTACATAAACTATTCTATGGTTTCAATGGTCAATTAGTGTGGGGGGGGGGGGGGGGGTTTTGA